GTGGGGATGCTGTAAAGCGCTTTGGGACAATGTAATGTTGTGATAATGCACTATACAAAAATAAATTTGTTGTTGTTGTTGTTGTATACACACATAACTCTGTACATATTATATGTATATCATATGTATACATGCACATATAATGCCCCTGCTGTGGGACATCCCCTGATTTGTGGACCACCCCCCTGCTTTGTGGAACACCCCCGTAGAGAGCTCAGTGATAACACTTTAGTCCTGGGCTTAACAGTGGTTGGTGGGTGGCATCCTCAGGACGGTTACATAACTGCCTTTGAGCATCCGCTGTGCCTCCTTCCCCTTAGCGAGTGGGGGCTCTGAGCTCCGGGGGGCCCAGGGCAGTGGGCCATTCGCGGCCCTGTCACTCATGGTAAAAATCAGTCTCCTGAATTAATGGAACACAAAATACTTCCCGGGGCGGCGAAAACAAACCCAGATATCAAAAAAGCATGAGTGCATCATGCAGAGGTGTGTCATGGACCGCAGCCATGGTTTTGCTACAAGGAAACCTTCAGCTTCATGGTGTACGGAGTGTCAGGTCAACAAAGCAGTATTTCCTTACAAAATCAGCTGCAACTTTCCTGACAGAGATTTTTCCACTAGTATTTACAGCTTAATGTATAACATGTTTCTCACAAAGGTCACAAATTATGCACTGAATAAAAACAAAGAGGTGAAGGCAAGACCAGGGCAGAATCGGTTGGTTGCAGGAAAATTTTGCTGTTTTCCTCTAGCAAAGTCAGTGAGGTGCTGATGCACAATGTGCCATGGCGTTCATAGATTAATGTGTTACAATAATACAATCACAGTTACAGAGATTAACGTGTTACAATAATACAATCACAGTTACAGAGATTAACGTGTTGCAGTCACACGGCATTACAACTGCAAGTAAATCAAAGTAATTAAAGTGTTACGATAACATATTAATACAACCACAGTTACAGAGATTAAAGTGTCACAGAAACATGGCTATACAACTGCAGGTACAGAGATTAAAGTGTTACAGTAACACGGCATTACAACTGCAAGTACAAAGATTAATGTGTTACAATAACATATTAATACAACCACAGTTACAGAGATTAAGTGTCACAGAAACATGGCAATACCACTGCAGGTACAGAGATTAAAGTGTTACTGTAACACGGCATTACAACTGCAGGTACAGAGATTAATGTGTTACAATAACATATTAATACAACCACAGTTACAGAGATTAAGTGTCGCAGAAACATGGCAATACAACTGCAGGTACAGAGATTAAAGTGTTACTGTAACACGGCATTACAACTGCAGGTACAGAGATTAAAGTGCTGCAAAGGCACAGTATTATGACTAGTGCCAAAGACACTCTCATCCTCCCGAGGCAGGATCTGAAATGGTTTGCAGTGAAACATTCACAACAATGTGTTTAATAGTCCCAGAGTCATGCGTAGGCAATTAATTTACTCATTTACACATGTATAGGTTTTACCATAGCCAGAGTTTCTGGGATAATTGAATCGCCACAATCCTTAGGAGCTCATCTTATAATCCATTCACACTCCCACCTGTGAGCTTTTCCCATTAATGTTATGATTTAACTGGTTTATGTAGAGGTTGGGCACCTCTCACCGGGATGCCAGAAATCTCTGGACTGGGTGAGCAGGCTGGTAACACACAGACACACACATACAGACTCACACAGACAGACAGACAACACACACACACACACACACAGAAGATGTTCTTAAGGTAAGCAATTCCCTTCAGCATTGCTTATCTATCATTAGATCATTATCTATCTATTACCCATCATTATTCAGGACCCTCTTTATAGGGATAGATTGAAGAGAAGCTAATCTGAAAATGCAGTTGTTTTAGGTGTGATCTCCCCAACCCTATGGAGCAGACTGTCTGCACTGCTTTTCTAGGAGGGAGGATAAAGAGTTTATGTGCCGAGAATTAATACTAACACTGCTTTCTGCAAAATAAGCAGGATCAAAACAGTCAAATTAATTTGATCTTCTATGAATTATAATTGATTTTGATTCACTTAAAAATGATAAAGGTTAAATTATAAAGGATGTCAGTTAATGCCTCTTTTAAATCTTAAGGCACGGAAGGCCTAATATGGCAGTGTCCATCTCCGTTTAATATGTGCAAAAAAAAGAGGCTTTGAAGTCTTAATGAAGTGTATTCTGACAGGCTTCTGCATGCTGAGTCATTAGCCAGTGTGGCAATACCTATGGATGGCATCACAGTCATGGCCACACCCCTCACATGAAAGTGCAATTGTGCCATCTAGTGGTCAGAGTTTTGATTCACAGTAATACATAGTAGCTTCAATATGAAGAATTGATAAGTGATAGCCTGATAGGGCACTTTGAACCTTGTTGTGTTTTTAGATGTGACCACAGATTTTCACATTATGTAACAGCTTTTTCCATGTTAAAGTAGTGTTTGAAATTACATATCCGTGATGTTTTGTCTTGGTGTCTATTGGCCATGACTAAGACAAAAGTCACCAACTCAGAATAATCTCACACTTGGATGTCTTCTGGAGATAGCAAACACATATGGATACATTTTGGATGTAAGAACACCCTTGTTGTTTCATCAGAATGTGATGGCAATTGATATTGACCCAGATCACAGAAACTGTGATTTCAGTAACTGGATAAACAAGGTTTTTTTATTTTATTTTTTAAATTTATTTATTTCAAACGAACAACAAATAAAAAAACATTTCCACATTCTCCGTCATAATGTTACACCTTGCTTGAAAAGGAGTAGGCAGAAGTGTAAACTTATTTGGTCCTACCCCATTCATACCATTTTACTTCAAAATTAACCTTCAAATTACAACAAAGGTGACTGTCACAAAGGATTTAAACTATATAACCTAAACTCAGGAGCTGAGACACTGTAGCGGGTATTTCAGACACACCACCCTACTATTAGCTCTGCAGTTCACTGTTGAATTCTATGTGTCACATTACATATAAGTGTCACAATGTGATGCCTTCATTATTCATCTGTGACAGAATAATGTGTGTAATTGTCAAACAGGGTGTTTAAAGTGGGCTTGAATGAGCAGATAATTATATGATTTTCTGATAGTATTTAAACATGATGAGCTGCATCACATGATGGTGAAATGTGGAGTTGTACACCTCAGTTACACTTTCATTTTAAAGGTATTTTGCACAGATTAATTATATACTATATAAGCCAAGAAATTCGAACTTTAAACATTTTCCAGGCAAATAATTCATAAAAGTTTTCTTACATGGTTCTGGATTCAAGTTCTCAGACAACAACTTAAAAAACACTGGAGATAAACACCATTTGGCTAATAGTTTTCATCTTGCACTTTATGTGAAATTACTACATTGTTACACACAAGTGGGAAATGGTATAAATTATAAAAAATATATGTTTTTTGCTCATGACATTTTTGCTAAATCAGCATGTTACTGCAGAATGCGCTTTATCATTATGCAAAGTACGTCTGCCTCTACGATGAGCTTGGCGTGATTTAGTGTAATGATGCTCTTGCATTAGTTTGATTTGGTCCCAGGTCCTTGGAAATGCTTTGAGTGATTATATACAGATTTCTTAGGAGTAAAGAAGGAACCAAACTACTGAAATCGGAAGTGAAATCCTATCACCATGCAAAACGGGACATCTGCTCGGAAGGTAGGATTTTTTTTTTGGCAGTGTTTTTCGAAGGGGGTTTTATATCACCATGTTTAATTAAAAATGCAAGACAGTCATCACCTTATCAATTTTACATTCCAACCTCAGGACTTGGATCTACTGTCAAACCAAACTGGATGGAAAGACGCGGCCTGGAAGGCATTTCGCCATCTTAAATGTTGCTGACACCTTAAAAGTTGCTGCCATCTTAAAAGTTGCTGCCATCTTAAATGTTGCTGCCATCTTAAATGTCGCTGCCATCTTAAATGTCGCTGACACGTTTGGTTTGTCTTGTGTTTGAGGAAAGATAAGGACTGTGAAAGGGATCATGAAGACATCAAAATCTGACATGAGCAATGTAAATGTTTAGGCAGCTACAGCAGGCAGCAGCGCAGTGCCAAGCTTGTGGGTGTTTTCCTGCAAGAGGTTACAAAACTGAAGACATGGAGAAGGACGGGGCAGCGGGTTCGAGTGTAGTACAGTATATATACTGCATATACTGCTGAAACAGCGAACACTCTAATTTGTTTTTCCACCTGCTCAATCATATGTAACCCTAACTTAATTTTGCAGTGCAGTGGGGGCGGTGTCTGAGTATTTGCCCAATTTGCCCAAACGTTTGAGAGTGCCCCCTCCTTTTGAGGTTGGAAATGCCCATTTTCAATAAATTTCAATAAATTTATTCACCAGGACCCCGATCAGTCAGCAAAATTTACCGTAAGCTATGCCCCCGCACCCCCTGCCCCAGAGAAAGCCTGTGCATGGCACTGACTGCTGGGGTGGAAATGTGATTAGTGATGCCAATGATGGTAGCATTTTGTGACTGACTCCATGCAGGTGGCATGGTTGTCCTGATGAGTCTAATTGTGTTTTACCTGCAAAAAGACAACTGAAGTGTATGGGCTATTGTGTGAGCCCCAGGTGGACAGTTACTCTGTCAGGGTCAGCATCTATCTGATTCTACCCTTCATGTCTCTTCCTCGTTTGGCCAGCAGGTGTCGCTGCCCATCCTGGTTTGTCACTCCTTGTCTGAAAATCCTTGTGTGTTATTTGTTTAGTTCCTCCAACTGTTGCCTGTTTCCTTGTACTGTGCTGACTGGGTTATCTTTAACAAACACCAAAACTAGGAATCCTGACTACAAACTGGAAAGTAAACACTAGGGTTAATGAAATGAAATTAAATGAATCTTTATTGTCATCATACAAAATACGATGAAATTGGATGCAGTCCCTTCAGTGCAAATTTGGCATAAATAAATAAATAATACAAGTGTTTAAATACATAAATAAAATTCAGCACTATGACACAATGAAATTACACTAAAATTTGTATTATGCATAGACTTAAAGTGCAGCACAACACTACCTTCATTCGTTCAGCACCGAATGTGTTAACAATGACTAGACAGAATTCAGAATGCGCATGGCCGTGGGGTAAAAGCTGTTTTTAAATCTGTTTGTACATGAATTGAGAGACCTAAAATGTTTCCCGGAGGGCAACATCGTGAACAGATGATGTCCCAGGTGGGAGGGATCTCCCAGAATATTAGCCGCTCTGGTGCAGCAGCGGGACCTAAAAATGTCCCCCAGCGAAGGCAGTGCACAGTCAGTGACCCTTTGAGCAGTGTTGATGACCCTCTGGAGGGTCTTTTTGTCCATCGCTGAGCAGCTGGTGTACCAAGAGGATATGCAGTAGGTCAGCACACTCTCAATAGTGCAGCGGTAGAAGGACACCAGCAAGTTCTCTGCCAGGTGGTTTTTCCTGAGGATTCTCAGGAAGTGTAGTCGTTGCTGGGCCTTCTTGACCATAGCCGTGGTATTCGTAGTCCAAGTGAGATCCTCCTCAATGTGTGTGCCCAGACAATTGATGCAGAACACAAGCAGGGCAAAGCAATGACTGGAAAGCCAAAATAGAACACGACAAACACAAGGGGAACATAGTAAATATTAATAAAAAACAGTAAATAAATGATGAGACCAACCTCGATTCCACAACTGGAAGAAACCAGTCTCAGAGTTGCACACTCAACCCACCAAGCTAAGCAATGGCCCAAGGAATAAAATGCACATACAAAGGTTTTCAGACAAGGAGTGACAATCCAGGAAGGCCAGTGACACCTGCTGGCCAAAGGGGGAAGAGACACGAAGAGCAGGATCAGATATGCACTGACCCTGACAGACTAGGGGGTTTAGCAGTCCAGCTGACCTTTGGGGCAGATAGGCATTTTGAAGCCTGCTTGACGAGCACTTCCAGGTGTCCCAGCCTTAACCACTGAGCCAGAAACTAAAGGTCACCATTGCTGCCAACCATATCAAATGACCCTGTTCAAATACAACCTCATGTTAAACACATACAAAAAATAAAAGTCAATGACTGGATTGCCTCCATAAATTAAATCTGTCATGATTCACTGTACCATTGTCTCTGTGGAAAAACAATGAGTTTGGAAAGATCAGGACTTGGCTGCCCGCCAGGGCTCACCATCTGGGAATGTGTGTCGGCGTCTGCTAGCACCACCGCCCGCGTCCTAGAAGGTGGAGTCACGTCCACCACGACTCCGGTGTCTTCACATGTGCGCGTGACTCGGCTGGTGACCCGACATGTCAGTGATGCTGCTCGGTATCTGGTGACAGGAGAAAGAGGGCCAGGACAGAGTGGAAATAGTCACTCCATTGCCTGGAAAATATTGAATTATCTGAAGCAAAACCAGCCAATGGAAATGTCTTCTGAAACTCTGTAGCCAGACTGAAACGCTGAGAATCAGGCAAATTATCTTACGAAAGATTTTACAAAATCAATATATTTTAATGTGACAGTATATTTAACATAAAAATAAATAAATATCACACATTCATGAAAGCCTGTTCAATTCATTCATAAATATGAATTTAATTTAGAGGGAAAATATCAATAGCATGACCAAAACTCAAACTCTAATCATGAAGAACATCGTTTGGCAAATGATTACACTTCAACATTTTTTATTGAGGACAAACAGTGTCCTGACATAGTGAGGAATCAATGACAACACATGTTCCATATCTATGAGAAAGACCTACTCTAATGGCACTACAATTCATCTACCTCTCAGACACTCAGTACTCAGCATCAATATCTGAAATGTCAATAAATGATTATCCAAATGGTCCATTTAAGATTAACAAAGTTCTATCTAATAAATCTTCACTATTTTGGTTCCCAAAAAATTATTTTGTTCTCACAAGATCTTGAGATCAACCATAAATCAATTCAAAATGTCCAAATCCATGTGAAGTTGGCACAATCACGGTCTGTATTCTTTCTTTTCTGCTTGTTTTGTTCTGTCCCTTTCTTGTAAGTGCTGTTTCTCTCTGTGATGGGATAACAGACAAGCCGAACACAGATAAAGCACAAAGCAAGCCAGAAAGCCATACTGGTAAACTGCAACACAGAGGACGGCTAACAGGATAACGTACAAGACTGTTCTTAAGAGATGATGTGGGGTGATTATTCCCAGCAGATGCAACATGTACGTGTTCTTAGCTTCTGCTCGCTCCTGTGGGCTCATTCGGACAGCTACGGGCTCTTTCTGTGTTCCCAGGGTTAAGTGGAAGGACGCTGCTATTCCCTGAGAGTCCTCAGCGTCCTCATTTGTCAAGATGCCGGGCATGTGGTCTCCCCAGTCCCCGGCCGAGCCCCTTGTGCTAGCAGGTGTGGGAAGGCCTTCTGCAGCACCAGCTGGGGGCTGTCCCTCTTCTAGCCTTTGGAGGTCTTTTACTCTGAGCTCATTATTCCCGGGAAGGCTCACAACGGTGCTGTGCAGATCTTCCTCTTCAACACCCGCATCCTGCTCCACATATGACACCTGCCCTGCGTCCTTCAAGTCCTCCAGCCCTGCTTTAAACATATCACTGCTCCTGGTGCATAGAAACCCCCTACCCTTGCTCTTGGTGCTGAGAAACCCCCTACCCTTAGCATGGGGAAGGACCACTTTTTCTCTTGCTGCATTTACCTCATGAGGCCACTCCCTTCCTCTGGTCACCTCTCCTACCTCTTTTCCCCTCGATACATTTTCCATTCCTCTTTTCACCTTTTCAATGTCTTGCAGTCTGTATGCATCTACCTGTTGTCTTTCATCTGGGTCATTAGCTTGTGATCTTTCACAGTCACCTTCATCTATGGGGGCCTCTTCTTCCTCATCCTGGTTACTGAGCTCCTGTGGTATGTTTACATTGTCCATCTCTGTGTGACAGTCTCTGTTATACACCATACTGTCTGTTATTGGAGACAGCATACTCTCTTCCTTGTACTCTAGTAAAATTCTTTCTACACTCTTGGTGTTCAAGAGATGTAGTGTTGCATTCTGGGATGTAGCTGATGTATCCACTCTCCACTCTGAATGGTCCCCATAACATTGAACTGTATGGTCTATCACCTGTCCAGGATGTATTCTATCTGAATGACCTACTGGCTGGTTCGAAGTGAGCTCTGCTGCATGATAAATTATGTTGCTTGGAATAATTTTTATTGCATGTTTGTTGAGCCCATCTACACTGATTTCAGCTGAATAGTGAACCAGCTCATCTGCACTGATTTCAGCTGAAATATCAACGAGTTCACCTGCACTGATTTCAGCTGAATGGTCAACCTGCTCGTCTGCACTGATTTCAGCTGAATGTTTAACTAATTTGTCTACTATCATTTTGTCTGAGTTGTTGACTGACTTGCTTGGGGTGATTTTGACTGAATTTTCAACCAGCTCAACTGCACTGATTTCAGTTGAATTATCACCCAGGTCATCTGCACTGATTTCAGAAGAATTATCAACCAGCTCATCTGCACTGATTTCAGCTGAATAGTCAACCAGCTCAACTGCAGTGATTTCAACTGAATGGTCAACCTGCTCATCTGCACTGATTTCAGTTGAATGTTTAACTAATTTGTCTACTATCATTTTGTCTGAATGGTTGACTGACTCGCTTGGGGTGATTTTGACTGAATTATCAACCAGCTCACTTGCACTGATTTCAGTTGAATTATCAACCAGCTCATCTGCACTGATTTCAGTTGAATTATCACCCAGGTCATCTGCACTGGTTTCAGCTGAATGATCAACCAGCTTGCTTGTACTGATTTTAGTTGAATGGTCAACCAGCTCAACTGCTGTGATTTCAGCTGAATTATCAACCAGCTCATCTGCACTGATTTCAGCTGAATAGCCAACCAGCTCAGCTGCACTGATCTCAGATGACTGGTTAACTAATTCATCTACTGTCATTTTGTCTGAATGCTTAACCAACTCGCCTGGACTGATGTCAACTGAATTGTCTATTGGCTCTCTGACAGCAACTTCGGGTGAATAGCTGACTATTTTGTCTTTTTCAGTTGAACGATCATCTGCTTCAGCCGGACTGATTTCTTCCTTAGAAGCTGTATTTTGTATCTTGTCAGAAGGTTCATCCTTCTCACTAGCACCTCTTCCCCCTCCTAGCAGGAAACCTGCTTTGTCATTCTCAGTTGGACAGTGAAACCCAGCAACAGGGGTCATGGAAGAACTAACAGGAAAATGATCTACAGCAATCTCTGTCAAGTGGCCAAAGGGGAGAGCTGCACTATTTAGCTGAGTATTGCTGCCGCCCCCCCTGCTTGCCCCCGCTTGCTCCCTACTCCCCCGAACATCTGCCTCCTCCTTGTATGACTCTGTTTGAGAAAAGGATCCCCCGTGAGGCTCTGACTCTACGTGAGGATGGTGACCAAGCCGTCTGTCATCTGTACCGCTATCTGAGCCCTTCATGTTTACCCTGCAGATCTCCACCTCGAGGTCACCCCAGAGAGGATGCCAATCCAACCCACGTGCGCAGCATCCCTCATGGTTTTCCGTTAACACTGCTGGCCTGCTGCTGAAATCTAATTGGCTGATAACATCCTGCAAACAGGAAGGAGGCAGATCCAAGAAGGGGCTAGAAGAAGTGGCCATCTCCAGTGCTGTGGCGTGCACTGTGTTATCAATGCTGAGAAAAGATTCCCATGGGTCTCTTGGCACGAAAGCAGTCTGTCTGTTTTTCGAATCTACAGCATCGAGTGGGAGAGTAGCCTGAGGGTGTGACTGTGCTTCCTTGTCGCTCTTGCACAGTCCAGGAGGGTAGGAAGTGGCACTCTCTGACGGTGACACACTGACTGCAGGGGGTTCCGGAGTGATTGCCCGCACAGGCTCTGCCTCTCTGCGTGAGAAGTGGTCTTGTAACTGCACCAACCGGGCCATCCTCCGTCTGCTCCTGCGGGTGCTGTGCCAGTCACAACCCACCTGTGAAGAGACGACAGACTAAAGCTTACACAGCAACCCTGGGCTAATCCTACTGCTTAACTAAACACTGCTTCAGAAGGTGCATGTTTTTAAATGTATTTTTTTGCTACCTTTACTCATCCCAGCAAAAATCTCTACAGTGTTTAGCCAAGAAGAACCTAAATGAATAAATAACACTATATACTGTATTTTTTCAGCCTTGCAGAATAGTTTGCATGAGATAATGTGACTTCTGAAAAAGCTGTGAAATATTTGGTTTAGAGCTTTACGCTCTGATGAGCCCAAAAGCAGTGGCAGCGTATGGATCATACCGGACTGGATCCTGTCCCCTGCACACAGGCACATTCCAGAAGTGTTGCTCTTAAAAATAGTATTTATAAATATAAATAGTGGGATTGAGATGAGCTTTGAGCCTTGAGGGGAAAACCGAAGTTTATTTAGCCCTCAATCTTACTGCGGGTCACTTCACAGTCTTGGGGATCGAGGTGCCTCAACACCCCCATTAAGGTGCACACAAGCACTTCACACGTATCCTGTGCTCTTGACATTTGAGGACATCTTGACATATCCATTTCACTGCATCTCCCACCCCCTGCATCATGAGCATGCTATCAGATAGCAGCAGCAGTCTCATTTGCTTTGTGCTGCTCAGCTGCTGTGCGACAGTGATACATCTCCACACTGCTGTGTTCAACGAACATGTGATACAGTGCTGCTTAGCCAGAAGTGCACATGGCTTTGCTCAGCTGGTGACAAGAAGCAGAAATAAACAGAAAAGGAGACACAGAACCTGTCATGGTAATGAAAAGGTTTATGTCACGTGCAGGGGTGGATTAAGGTGTACAGAGGCCCCTAGGCTACAGTAGTCTGTGGGCCCCCCAACCCCGCCCCCCTCCGCGCCAATGGGGCCCCCCTTGCAGGCTGGCACACGTGGGGCCCCTAGGCTTAAGCCATATCTAGCCTGTGCGTTAATACGCCCCTGGTCACGTGCTTAAGTGGCCCAAGAAGTGGTGTGAGATGGAAGCAGGAAGATGCACCCAGTTCTGCAGGCATCTGGGTTGTGAGATGCAAGTACACTGGTGTGAGATGTGTGAGTAGACCAGTGTGAGATGCATGTACACTGGTGTGAGATGCAGGTACACTGGTGTGAGATGCAGGTACACCAGTGTGAGATGCATGTACACCGGTGTGAGATGCAGGTACACTGGTGTGAGATGCAGGTACACTAGTGTGAGATGCATGTACACCAGTGTGAGATGCAGGTACACTGGTGTGAGATATGTGTAGACTGGTGTGAAATGCATGTACATCAGCATGAAATACATTCACACTGGTGTGAGTTGAGTGTACACCAGTGTGACATGAGTGTACACCAGTGTGACATGAGTGTACATCAGTGTGACATGAGCGTACACCAGTGTTAGATGAGTGTACACCTCACCGACTGCTGGCCCTCTTCTAACTGTGTCCCAGCAGAAGCCACATCTTTGTCGCTTCCTGTTGCATCTAGGAAAATAAGAAATGCTTAAATGAACAACTGCACGGCTCAATAGCTGAATTCCTTCACTTATCCACAAAGCAGCCTACCTGAAATTTCATCAGGAGTCTTTGCTAGATGAAAGTCAGCTGGACTGTCTCTAAAAATCAGTAAGAAAGTGAAGATTTTGGTGGGTAAGACTCTGCAACATAGATTCTTAGCAGTAAAGATGAAAATAACATGTTTGCTGACATGAATGAAAATGTAAGCAGAGGTTTTTAACTCTGCTTAATATTTGTGTTTCTCACTTCCTGCCATAACCAGCACTTCAACAACAACAACAGATTTATTTTTGTATAGCGCATTATCACAACATTACATTTCAACACTTCAGAAATTTCAACCAAGTGTCATATTCAGCAGCGATACTTTATTGTTCATAATGAACAGCATGCTCAAATAAACACTGCCAACAAAGTTTTGTTGTCCTACTGATTCCTTGAGAAACACTTAAGAAAAATCTCATTCTGCTTTTCCCAGTGGATTGGGTTTATAAATAAAAATTCTCAGCATGATCAAGAGGAAACTGGGCCATCAGCCAAGAGATTCTTTTTTGCACAAATATCATGGATGATGAACTTCACATGATCTTTCCCAGCCTGCTAATCCCAACCCACATTCAGACATATTTTCCAAAACACATCTGTTGTGTCCTCAGGGGACAGACAACAAAATCTGTACAAAGTGGTTATCATTTTATTACTGCAGCATATTAAGTATGAAATGTGCATCATCAGTAAAATATTTGTAAGTGTCAAAACACTGTTTGATACATCTGCTGTATGAGGATATCCAAAAATAATGTGGTACCACAACACCGGAAAAGAGGCCCGTAGTCCAAATATCGGGGTCGGGGTTCATTAAACCCGTAATTTTACCATGTGGCTACGTGCCTGCCTGAGTGCAAGTAAAACTAGTTTGTTAACCAATCGCTGTTGTGGAAATGCAATTATTGGATTAAACCTGGGCTTTTGGACATACTATAACATGTTTGGTCATTTGTCATCGAATGATATTTAAAAATGTGTGATGCAACAACATTTTCTTTATGGATGTGCTGGATTTTCCTGAGTAATGATTATGAATAATATCTTTAGACCAATAGTTAAGAACACAAAGAATGGATGTTAAGGAGACAGGGTGACCCCAGAGCGCCCACCTGCTGGCCTTCAGACAGCTCTTCTTGTTTGGCTGGAAGAGCTCTTCCTGCACTCGCACTTTCATGTCTCTGGCTGTCCTTTTGTCATAAAACAGCACATAATTCCTTCCACCGTTGTTGTCCCAGAAGGTCCCCATCGCTGTCTCATATCGGAGGCAAAACTCCACCCTAACCTTTTGTCCCTCAGATGGGGGCATCAAGCTGAGCATGAAGGAGAACCTGTCGGTTTCACCATCACTTGATCCCGGTACGAATTCTGCTAGCAGGTCAAATTGCGAGTCCCACTTGTCCAGAGTGGTCCGAGCATATACCTGCTTGTCGAAGCATAAATTCAACACCCTGATGGTTCCCCTCAGTGATGTCGTTCCAGGAAGCAGCTCCACATGCTCCAGCTGGATCTTCTGTGCTTGCAGTGTCCGCCTCAGTTCCTCCAGTGAAGACGGCACTGCGAAGAGGCGTGAGAGGCAGGATTCCTCGGAGTCCTGGAGGCTGCTGTGGTCTGATGGACTGCTGGCGGCCGGAGTCGGTGTGTTCCAGGTGTCAAACTCCTTCACGGACACCAGGTCCAGTCCGAAGGCATCGGCAAAGGACACCTTTCTGACAATGACTGGAGGGGCCTCTACATCTGATTCTTCGGAGGACACCGAAGCTCTCCGTTCGAGTTGTCGAGCCTCGACTCTTATATCCTCCTCCCAGGGCTGAGTCTCATGGCTCCCCAAAGGAGCAGAGCTACCAAAATGCAACGATTCTCCAGCAGACTCCATGGGGCTGTTAGAGAAACAGCCAGGCACAGAGCTGCACTGTGTCTGGGCACTGTTATCTGAGGAGCCGGCAATAAGCAGATGGGATCGTCTTACAGTCCCCGTTGCGCAGAGATTCCGGGCTATAATTAGCTCAGACAGTCCATAAATTACCCTGTATTTAGCAGCCTTCTGTTTCGCACAAAACACATACACAATGTATAACGTGGCATGCTTTTAATGCTGCGGCTTTTGTTTTATGGAGATGTTACTACCGCATACTGGACTTCATCCGTATAGGCACCCATTTATATAAGCCGATTCTGGCACGCTGTGTTTGCCGGCAGTTTTTAACAATCTTAGGTGCCCCCAGCTGACAAGCATACACCTGACATTAAATGTAAAATGGCTGCCTGCGTGATGCAGTTTCATGAAGCAGTTTAACATAATACGCCGGATTATTAAGCCAGTGGGTATTAGATCATTGCGGATCTTATTACAGCCGTGCTGAAAACATGATAAAAACTTATTTTTCCGTTTATTGTTTAGAATAAGACTGGTAATGTGCACCGATCAGCGGTCCAAAGATTCCTCCAGTGGATGGCGCTGTACTTCCAACTCAACTGTACTTAATTAGCTGTCTTGTTAAACACTGTCGAGAAATTCAAGTGTTTATTACATGTATTTTTGCTCCACTTCCAAATATTCTCTGCCTGACACTATGGCTGATGGTATATCAAGATTTTAAAACCGGGATATAAACAGAGCGCAATATGGAATGAGGGTGTTTATACCGATCGAGTTAAATTAAGTTCTAGAGTTTTTTTTAATGAAGTTCCGTTTCAGTCTCGCGGAGAGCCTTTTTCCTTCTCCCTCGCTGTCTGCTCTAGGCTCCAATACACTTCTCTGCTAGCGACCCGAATAGCATAAGCTTAACATCGGACAGTGCCATAGTAGCTGAACCTGTATATGAAAGGAAGACCTGTAATTAGAGATCGTATTTAAATGCATGATATTCTTCTTAAAGTTCCAGTAGAAGTATTGCAAGGTATCATATCAAATCAATTTTAATTTAGTAAATAGCGGATGGTAGGGAAGTACTTATAAAATGTTTAGGTTAGAATTAAATGCTTAGATAAGATCACCTGAGCACGAGCTACTTCACTGGGCTGGCCTTACAAGCTTCTGTTGTTTGCACAGTTGTATGCAATATTTTGGTAACGAAAACCTAATTGCACTTGTTATGGGCTACCGTTAATTAACTTGTTTGTTGAAACAATGGAGAGCATGTAAGTGACAGGTCATTAGCCTATTTTCTTTTATTTTATAACATCGTTATATTTCTGTTGTAGGCTACATTCTCCTATAATTTCAAATACATTTATACATGCCAGTTTTTATTTACGTTTAAATATTTAGCTTACATTTGCATTGTGTTCGAATCTGTAGCCTAATCACACTTATACTGAAAGCACGTACGTTCAGATACCGTAGGCATGTTAGTTAATTATAAATTCATTTGTCATGGACTTTAACCTTTATTTTGTTAAAGTGACATCTTGTATTGTGTTGACTTACTGAACTGATATACTGAGATATAGGTTACATCGGATATCGCCATTCTGCCAAATTATATAGAGATTTTTGTACAACATAAGCACCGATGGCTGCAGACTTTTATCCTTCAGATTATCCCATCCCTGGATCAAATGGCGAAGCTGTTGCTTAAGGTAACAGAGTACAAGAGCAATCTTAGATCGGCAGAACCCGTAAATGTAATTCAAATTACATACCCACTCATAAGTCAGTTGGAGACACGTACCCTCCAGTTACGAAAAATGACAACTACTACGTTTAATGTCCTCCGCACGAGTAAAACCCTCTTTGTTAGAAATTCCCAAGTTTCCCTTCGGAAGGAATAACGAAGTCATACCATTTTAAAGAAATCTCAATAAAAGTATTATGCTGTGGCTTTCCTTCTCATTAAAATCCCCGTAACTGGAAACTTTTGGAATGCATTTTCATGTTACCTCGTCATGAATTTCGTCGCTTATCACAGCTAAGCTCATTTAGAAAATCATTTCAAATCCCGACAATATACAGCATACAGCAGAGGGTGGCGCCATATCCCCATTTGAGAGTCAGTTTCCCCCGGTATACCGGTATGGATAGCTCCCACACTTCATTTTTTAAAATATATTTTTCCAAGTTTAATTTTACGCCTGATACTGACGAAGGAAAATCTAAAGTACTCAAAAAGTTTAGCTAATTTATTTATTTTAGGATATAGCAACGTGCTCCGTCCATTTTTAAAAAGCGTTACAAATCTTTTTCTTTCCATGCAACCTAACTTTTTCCAAGAATACCTTCATTGCGCATTAAAAATACATTTCTGCCTTCTTTCACGGAATTATAAACAGTGGTAACAAGTAGGCCTAAAATGTGTACACGGCAGTTATCTCTGCTTGCATACTTTATATTCCTTTTAAATTGACGGATACGTTCGTAACGTAGGGTGATTAATCACAGTTGCGGCCCACAGTTACCTAAATTTGTAGAATTGTGTTATTTACATTCACATTTTTCGTGGTGTTATCAAAGCGTAGGTTTAGCAATAAAAATCGATAAACCACGCTAAGTACAAACTACAAAATGCTGCGTATGTCTACAATGCAACTTTTATGCTTTAGTGACATAAACAACTTCTGCCTCCCTTAAAAAACACTTAAATGCGTCGCAGACTGGCACTTGCAAGAATCTAAGAGAAGGGTTACAGACAATCTTCAAATTATCGAGGTAGGTCAAAGAAGAAAGACCAAATATGAGCAGAATATTGTGTTTTATAGGCCTAACAATTTTATTATGTTAAAGCGGAACAATGAAAAAGCAGGACCGGAAGCCTCAACGCAATGGAAAATACCATTGTGTTTTGAAAAGGTAAAAGAGGAAGAAGACGAAAAGAAACCAGATTAATGGACTCAGTCGTCATAACAATGAACATGTCTTTTGGAAGCTCGAAGAGCTGGGCAGGGGACAGAAAGTTCTGGGCGAATCCTGTTTATATGGTCACCAGAAGTCCACATCGACTCAACTGCGCTTAATAATAATTATGATGGCGTTTTGTGTAAAAATGGGTCACTAGATGGCGATAAAAACCACAATTTTCATATTTGTCTTACTGTGAATGTAGATTTTTGTGATCTTTTTCGGAACTACAATTTATTTTTAATACACATATTGATGGTATGTATATTTCACATGTAGCTTAGAATGACTTTTATATTTTTATGCGTTTCAAATAAATATAACATATGTATAACATAATATAATATATTTTAATTAGGTCTGCAAATCTTTTAATATTGCCAAAAATTGGAAGACCCTTGGGCCAGAATTTAAAATATATTTAGCCCACGAATGTATGTATATTTTACCGGAAATATATTTCACAAGCTTTCACACCTGATACATTTCCCTTGTATTACAAAACCGCCCCATTCAACTTATAAAACCAACAAAAACGGAAATATTACACCTATCTTAAATATACAAATAAAACAATAAATGATTACTAAAATGTTTTCACAGCACAGTAGTCCTATTTTTTTTTAGCGGCTGCAAGCATTTTTATGTACATTTATTAATTTAATAAAATAAAAATTACTCGCAATGATTAGGCAGCATCCGTGCAATACACAGTTTTAACACGGCTTAGTCTTTTAAAAAATAAAAATGAAACAAATGGTAATTTTTACGTTGAATCCCCACATAACGTTATTAAACATGCTTTGTTGCACTGTAAGTCACAATACAGAAAGCATAAAGAAAGGCGACAGTTTGTCCAATTTTCTACTCGGTCCGGTAATGTAAAACACATCCAATTACAAATGGATTTTAAACACTATAAAAGTTAAATATCGAAACAAACAAGCATAGTAAAATACACATGCAAAATGTTTATATATATTTTATTTTATTTAAAAATAAAACTCCGACTAAGCAGTTGAAAAGGATTAAAACAAACAGAACACATAGGCTATTGCAAAATTATTTTTTAATTAAAAATTTGTTTCCACAATTTATGCAAATAAATATGATCAGTTTCTAAATTGCTGAAAATGGTTAAAACTAGTACTGTGGCTACTCTACAAATACTCACAAAACTCGACGACTAATTACAATTGCAACTTCACTTGCGTGGATGGTGGATGCAGGCGAGAGGCTGTGAATCGACGGCTTCGCGTTTGCTTTCAGCATTAGTTAAAAGTTGATCTCTCAAACACACATGTTGTAAAATATAAAAATACAGGTTTAGTGGGATGATCTTCGCAAAAGTAGGGTACGATTTATGATTTTACAGGTGCAAAAAAAATCTCCATATCTTTCTCCTGAACACGGACGTTTATTTAAAACGTGAATGTACAAAAAGTGCACATTTCTATTGGCCTGCTTTTAAGATAATTATTGTAAGTTTTTTTTATTGGGAAATATATCATTTTTCATTACTGTTTTGTCAGACGAGATTCTAGCTTTTCATTACATAACTAATATATTACATATGATTTGTAGCAGTTACTTTAACGGTGTACAAATAATTCAACAATAATCATTGTACATGTATTATTATACATGTACGTATTGGTGGCTATAACGTGACAGCCAACTATAGTATTGCATATTGCACTCTCTTCATATCATACGGTAGACACAATGCTATACATTAATATTTAAAAAAAGAAACAGTATCTGACCCTCCCCTAGGATCGCATTTAGGGGCAGAGCGTACTCCGTTGTGAAAGTATTATTTGCTCTCGGTTCGTTTTACACATTTGTCAAGCTAACCGAAAAAGAGCTACATTGTCTATTAAGCGGGTGGTATGAGCTAACGTGGTAAACGTATGTAGTTCAAGTTAAGTGTGCGGAGTTTATCGGGGTTTAAAAGGCGGGCTACGAATAACAAGGACAAATAAGCAACTTCAAAAGACTTTTTTGTTTACATAGCAGGTGGACGTGACGTCACCGGCGGTCTCAGCACGCCGAAAAATAACAATAACCAACTCCGCCAGAGTGCCTCCCCCGGGGCAATATTTTAATAAGCTAGTCCCAAATACCTCACCGGATCCATTCTGATATATTGAATCCTGGTGCAAAACATACAACATCGGCTTACTCCGAGAGCAATATAACTGGGGTTAGTGGCTTATTCGTTTGCATTGATAACAACAGCGCAGAACAACCGGAGTAGGAGGGAGGGAGGGAGGGAAAGAGGGAGGCAGCAGAAGACGCGTGCATCCCGGAGCCCGGTGCCAGCGGAGGAATACCCCGCTTGTTTACGCCTCGGTTTGTTGTTCATTTTCTGTTTTGTGATTAATCAAAGCTCGCACGTGCCAATTGCCCTCAGCGTAAAAAGTCGCTCGCAAGTTATTTCTGCACGATTGTTCTTATTTTTTACCGAGGAAGTACTTCTAAGTCTCGGTAAGTGTTCACGTTGCTGTTTATCTCCTTTTCTTCTCTGACTTTTACTTTGTTTGTTATCGACAAGTTATCTTCAAGTAATGTGAAGTAACTGGTCTACTTGGCATCTGTGATACCGTATGCACGCACTGTCTTGATAGACGCGTACTCATCTATAATATATATCTTCTCCATACGCCTTTTCCCCTTAGCAGCGCATTGTATGGTTCCTGCTGTCTTTTGTATCGGCGGCTGACTTTTAGCGAATGCATTTCTCAGTAATGTGTTCTTTGAAAGACAAGTTGAAAGCCAACAAGATAGAAAACCAGGCTATAACCACTAAAACGATATTTGTCTACTCACTAGTATACGATTTAAGTAGCAATATTTTTAGTTTAAAAAAACAGAATGGCCATTTTTCATAGGACTAGAAGGAGTCCTTTATTTCGCTAAATGTCTTCCCTGTACCGTAAGTATGCATTTCACATTATGTTCCTTTTTAGAAGTATCGACAGAAACATTGCATTTGACTGCTACCTCAGGGATTCAGTTTTTAGTTTTCGATTGAAAAACTCCACGCAACACGTGTGCAGATTTTAGGTAACATCTGACCATTGGAAACCGCTCATTGTAATATACCAACAAGGTGACAAATATTTAGTGATCCATTGTGGTGACCTGATAATGTTTAACATTTGCCTAGGTACGTGGCTTTGGTTGCATGCAGTTGAAGTAAAAACTGCGAAGTGCGCTTGCAGCTATGACAGTTTGAGACATTCCCCTAAAACCTAATAACGATCAAAATAGTTCTGCTGGTTCTGTTGGAGAACATTCAAGTCGTATTCTTCTTCGTTAAAATGGCATTTATCGTGCACTTAAACGTGATTTCTGTAATTTGAATTACAGTTCTAGGCCTAACAGAGTTTACTGAAAAGAATAGCTCGATTTGAAGCGATATGAAGATGTTATCACAAGTTATAGGCTGATTATACAATATACGACATTATTTGGTGTGACGCTCGGGTACCGTAGGAAATTGGTTGATTTAAAACATTTAAATGAAATTCTAATTGTGTAACAATTACTGCAGACAGCACGTTATGAATATCTTATATATTGCTATATTCAGTTGAATGTAGACGGCTGTAAAATGTAGTCCTTTTAATACTTTACGGGTTCCATAGTTTTTGAGCCCTTATAATTTAAAAATCTTGTAACTATTCGCAGAGTTTTTGTTTTAGAGTCCTGTAGTATTCAAGCAAATATTTTCGCTTGTCAATGATTGTTCAGGATGGTGAAACCGTATTATTCGTGTTCCACAATGTTAGTTAATTATGTATAATTTAGCCGATTTATATAGTTTCGTGCGGTCAAATACTCTTCTGCACATTTTTAAAAATGTAATATTTATCATTTATAATAATAACTGAGTTATACATCGGAATGAATAAGTCCTGTAACTTTAGGACACGCGTATACGGTAGATCCATAGCTTCTGAAGTTTTACTTGTATTTGTGCTTTGAGTTCAATTCAAGGATCGGTTTTTTAGATAGGCTCGTTTTTCTGTGCTCTGTAAAAACTGGGCTCACCTGAAAATAATCGCCTCACTTTGGATTATTAAAGACTCTCTTTCTTATTTATTTTTGCTCCGTGGAAACTTGCCTTTTCAGTTTGGGGTGTTTTTCTCGCTTAAATTATATCACGACCACACATTTGATTGCTCGGCCAGTCCATTTAAATGAGTTTTATTTATTTGTGAGGCAGTGAACCGAGCTCTTGTGTTGTCCGTGGTTCCTGTGGGCATATACGTTAATCCTAAAATGTGTAGATGAGTATGAAGATGGTACTGATGCGTGGTGCTTCTGTTTGAAAATCACCGAAGCAGGATTTGCCTACACATTGACCGGGGCTTTGACTTGGGCTTTTTAAAGGATGGGCAGATCATGCCGCATTAGCTATAATGGCAAACGCTGTTTTTATCCCCATGAACTTCATTAAAATGTTTCCATGACAACCTTCAGGGTTAGTTAAAGCTACCAGAGGTGATCAACAGCTAAATCACTTCTTACTATATTCAAACTGTGATTTGTCTGCGTATGCGTACATATGTAGGCTATATCACTAATATATCACAAAATAAAAATGATTACACCCGGAAGTGAATGTACCTCGGCAATTTCGCTGGTCTTTGGGACTCGCTGTAGTGGAAGCATTTGTTTACGTGATCATGTGCTGTTAGCTGTCAGCCCGCGACAGAACGCCTTTCTTTGATAAAGAGCTGCATTACATGCCTAAGAGAGCTTTGCACTTTAATTATCTTCGCTGGCGTAATGGTCGCGTTTGTGTGCTTCAGTGCATCCGAAATGAGGTGCTGTCGTGGATTATTTAACCTGTCTGGCTGCTGCGTCCTCTTCTTCAGATAAAGATATTCGGATTTTTGGCATTGAAATATGGGTGGGGTCCATGTGTAAAATTAAAATGAATATGTTCTGGAAACGGAGGTTTTCAGTATTATTATGCACTATTACGGCGGTAACCTTGTTCTCCTCTATTTATTTATCAAAGACGTAATAAGGTGTGTAATGAGGTTTTCGCTGTCATTTTTACAATATGACGGTAAGTGCCATTCAGGTGAAAATGGCACACATTTTTGGAATACGTCCTCTAGATTATTCTTAATTATCCTAACATTTTTCCAATTTTGTAAAACTTCATTTCATGAATATCCCACTCTGGCTGTGATCATGTTTTGTTTCAGGTGAATTTGTCACATCTGCTCTGGAATGCTGGAATTTCTCGCAAAGCTTTTCGAGCACTTGCTTTTTTTGTTTTTTAAAACAAGAACTTTCAGAATTGTTAGACCTACTGAAATGTTTCACTAGAACAAAACATATTTAATGGCCAGAGCAGAACTGTTTGTAATTAGTCTGTGCATTCGTCTTTTAGGCTGTTGCCTGGGGGTGTGTTAACATTGCAGAACACTCGTTTACATTGCCAGAGGTGAAGAGACAGCTGTGTGAAAGTACACAAATTAGCCTGCTGCTTACTCTAGAGCAGCGTTAAGGGCCACAAACCCAGCACGGCATGATGGTCGGAGCCAGGACGCATCATTGTTTTAATTGCCTGTGTTTACCCCCATGTGCCCACCTGTCCTTAAACGCTATTCGCTGTGCTACATTGGCTATAGGCCAAATGTGAAGGATGCAAGGATATTTCAGAAATGAGTGGTATAAATTGCTCTACCTGTTGTCATGAAATGCAAAAATCTCAAAAGAAATGCGTTTATTACACTGTTGTTCTGAAAGCTGATGCTGACTTAGGCATCAATTTATAAGGGCAACCTGAAGCCATTTTATTTTATCCTGTAAAACATTCGTAGGTTAATATTGATTTTTTCCCCCTATATGTGCTCCTTTCTGGGCATCACTGAAGCAGTGCATCGGATATTGTTTAATTTGTTGTATTGGACTGGCACTGACATGCAGAATGTAGAGATACCACACACCAGTTTATCATTTAAGTGATTGTAATTAACATTTCTGATTAAATGACACTTTTGGAATATGGGGAGGGGGGTAAATGATTTTGAAATGGTAGCCGGCACCTCTTACCCCTCATATTGCGCCCTCAACGACACCTAAGAATTAATTTGGCTCGCTCTTGGCGGGTTTTCGCGAAGGCGCGCCAGCCCTCCATCGTGAGTTTTTGATTAAGTGCCATGTTCCTCTCCGTATAGACATGTGAGTCGACATATAATATCTGGCGTCACGGAGGTTAAATGCCTCTGCCTTTGAGGGGTTTAATACATCCATGACAGATATCGCTTGTTTTGCAGGCAAACGTACGGTATGGCCAACAAGCGACATCAGCAACTGAATTTCACGTCCTACATATTGACACGGTCAAAAATCAAATTTTTTAGGGGAATCATACCGATAAATCGTAGGACTTGGGATTGTGGGCCAGGAACCACTTTTACAGCTGAATAGCTTTGATGTTACGATGTTGCTCCAGGATTAACGTGTGATTAATGTGGTTTTTTTTTTTGCATAAGGTTAGGTCTTGAGGTACTTTCTTCTGCTGGATTTGTCCTACAGCATCTGACAGCTTATTTTTGGGCAATGTGAGGCCAGAGCTCCTTTCTTAACTCAATTTCACATATAGAGGGACTAGGTCTCCACGATCAGGAGTTTTCAAGAATCAGATTTCCTCAGATGGAGTTTTGGGGATGTGTTATAACAAGGGTGGTGTTAATGCTACTTATCTGTGTTTCAGTTTCATCCAAAACAATGTATGATTTGCAGTTTTATACATTTGTCTGGATTTTTACTTGGAAGTTTCAGTGGAGCAGTGTTTCAAGGCTACGTTCTCCTCCTTGGCTTTGTGTAGGCCCAGCTTTTAACAGTAGCCCAGAAGTCTGGGAATTTTCTTTCAGCTGGAGCAGCTTATTAGCTGCTCAGGGCGTTATTCCTGCTTGGCATCTGACCTTGACGTATCAGCGGGATGGTTTTCGATGACGACAGTGTGAGGTTGTCCCCTCTCGCCCCTTGCAGCTCATTCACCCCAGATCTGCTGACCTTTTGCCCGCTTCCACCTTCTCATTGCCAGCAAACAAAGGGCGTCTCACGGGCTGCCACTAGTAATGTATGATTAGAGTATAATGGTGGTGAAAGCCATTAGTGGCGGCCCTTGATCTCCTGGCAAATCCTCGCCAATGGCATGGAGGTGAGCTGTAATTTATACACTCTGTGCTTTGAGGCTAATGTTGGGTCGGGAGGGCCTGGTTCTGATACAGTCTCTCGCCATGCTGGCAGAAGCAACATATGGACCCAACAGAACAACAGCTTATTTCCGTGGTGTTCGATGAGTGGTTTTTAATTTGGATCGTCACTGCTAGCAAGCCGCAGCACAGATGGTGTGTGTTATTGGAGCCTGGGGGGCCAGCTGTTGCTTATAAACTCTCTCCCCCCAATTAATTTCCTTTTTTTGTTTCAGTCTAGCACAGTGCAGATCAAGATGAGTTCGACCTGTTATGACACCTGTCTTTTTTCGCCTGTGTAATTTGTGTTTTTGTCAAGTCATTTCAATGATAACAATAAATAATAACGAGGAGGAGGAGGAACAAATGGCCCCTCGCCAGCGTAGAATCGCTTGCTGTGCCTCGACAAGGTCTGCAGGCATGGATACTGTCATGCAGGGGGGTGGAGGGGTGGGAGCCGGGGTACAGAGGGAAGGAGTTCCTGAGAGCTGGCTGTCCTGCTGTCATCCTCAGTACCAGACTCCTCACCCCCCCACGAACACAGACACACACACATACACAGACACACACACACATTTATACACACACACAGACACACACATACACAGAGACACACACACATATACACACATAGACACACACACACCCATTCACACAGACACCCACACAGACACATATACAGAGACACACACACAGACACACACACACACACACACACTCAGACACATACAAAGACACACAGGTTTGTAATTATATATTTGTGGGGACTCTCCATTCATTTTTAAGGGGAAAACTCTAATCCCAACATGACGACCTTAATCCCCACCCAGCCCTAACCTTAACCATAAGCAACCAGACAAAATACAAGACTTTTGGCATTTGTAATTTTTTGACTGCATTCACAGAATGGGGAACATCTGGTTCTCAAAATGCAATATGAACATAATCCACACACACACACACACACACACACACACACACACACACAGAATGAATTTACTGATCAAAGTAAGCGGAGGCCTTTGTGGCCTGACATCGGAGTGTCTTGGGAATGTCAGGATGTTCTTTGTCTCGCGTGGGATGCTGGAGTGTCGCTTTCATAATCATGTCCAGGCCGCGGCTGGCCGGCCGGCCGCTCCAGTGGTGGGCACCACGATCACTGGGGAGAGAAACATAAAGTCTAAACCACCGTTTGTTCATACATCAAACCAAGACCCAGAATGGCCCCGTGCTGTACGATTCTGTCAGACTTCATGGCACAGAGTAAGGTGATGTCCAAACGACGTTTTGTTTGGAGTCTCACAGCCTTTTAGATGCTCGGGATGACCTTTAAATGAGAAATAAAAAAGTTCTGGTAAAACTTTACTTAAATCACTTATCTGTAATGCACTATCGATACCTTCATAATGCTTTATAATGGTCGGTATAAGAATTCATAAAGCATTACATCATCTTCTATTAACAGTTATAAGGCATTATAATGTTGATTGTAACACTTCATGAGCTCCAATGAAGCTCTCATCTATCTATCTATCTATCTATCTATCTATATATATATCTATCTATCAATTTGTTTATTTTCTGTCCATTTATTTATTTAAAATAAATTATTTTTCTTCTTTTAAAATGTGTGTAAAGTATTTTGTAAACTGGTTAAAGCAGTGTTGTAAAATTTGAGTCTGATTGATTTGTGCTGCATTACTGTCATGCTGCTTGAGGAAGACATGACTCAAATGCTGCTTGGTTCAGCTTGTTCCGTCTTACCTACGAATTCAGCTTAAAGACAGACTTAGGGAATCTTGTTCATAACCATGAGACAGCCATTGTGTTATATTAGTGTTTTTTTTTCCTTTGTTGAATCTATGAATTATATAATAATCATTCCAGGTTCTGTCATTATTGGTTGATCAGGCCTAAGCTGAATAATTTCTTATAGTAAGTAACCACGGCGACATCCATCATCAAGCAGGAAGTAGACAGTTCCTGGGCTGATGGGGAGATTTCTACCTGCCAGTAGTCCCCCTCTCCCTCCCTTTCTCCCCTGCTCCCCCTCTTCCTCTGTGAAGTAAGTCTTTATCGTTTCGTCCAGAAAGGCAGCGGTGGACCATTTGTGGTTTCCCCGATTCCCCACCGCGTGCTAATCCCCTCAGAGCGGGCCGGCGTTTGCCGCCGGTGGGCCGCCGTGGCATGGAGACCTCCCCCACCTCCGCGATAGAGAGGCGTTTCAGAGGAGGGCCCGCTTCATTGGAAGCCATTCAGGGGGCTTGAATCCCCAAGCGATCTTGAAGGTTAAGAAGGCATTATGAAGCTGGTCTTCAGCGATATACCCCATCTGGGTCTGGGACGGTTTCCACACGGAGGCCGCAGATGGAAGCAGGCAGATACAACCAGGGAACAATCGCATCTCATGTTCGCTTATGATGTTGACAGTAACTGAAATTTCACTAATCTACACCCCCTCCCTTCTCCCCCAATCTGCATTTCAAAGAAATCTAATTTAGCGGCGAGTTACGGTTTTGGAGGACGAGACCTCTTTATTCTGGCCTTTTATTGCGCCTGCCGCAAATTATCTGGTGTCTGTGGAGCGTTTCTTGGCGAGACGGGCTCACGGACCGCGAAAGGCCCCCCCCCCCCCCGCACGTGGTGTGATGCCCGAGCTGCCGACCGGGGTAATTACACGTTTGGGGGTGAGTACAATGGGCTTGAGCGCCATCCATGTTCAGGCAGAATCGCCCGTCGAGTGTAGATAAGGCTTTTGCCCCTGAAGTGAGTATCACCCCGACACTGCTTAACTCTCCCTGGCAGAGGTGCGATTGCCGTGCGCGGTAATCAGGCCGGTCTGCTCCTGTGAACATGTTTCAGGCTCCTTTTGCACTCTGTATTTATACATCGTTACACTGCTTCCCAGGTCTGCTCTGTGAGGGTGGGGTCTTTCCTTCAACAAAATGCCATAAACCAGCTCTTCCATGATTGAAGCGTGGAATGATCGCTGCGTGTTGGCTTGTAAACTGACTGTCCATTTATAATGCAGGGTTATTGGTTGTTGTTTTTTGGAATTTTCTTCCTGATTGGCCATTTGAATGCCTTGCCTCTGTTTGAAATTCCCATCCTTTACGTTGCACGTAACATGAATATTCCCCTCTCTTTTGTTCCTGGAAATTCCTTTATTCACCCGTCCTAAAAAAAACGTTTATCAGAAAGGTTGAAGTCAGGGAATTACCGGTATGTTTTAAATCCAGTACAGTAACCGGGGCACAATCATGAAATCAGTGCAGAAGATAAGGAAATATCTCACCTAAATAATTTAAATGTATAATGGGGAGGGGGGTATTTCAGAAGGTCAGGGGAAAGAGGAGTAATCAGGCTATATGCTAATCTGTGGCCGCGGTTCTGAATTTAGCATCTGGCTTTTAGCTTTTAGCGCTTAGTGAGGTGCCTCTTAAGTGAAGCCCGCAGGCAGCACGGCATGTTCTAGCAGGGCTCGTTTTCCCCATCATCCTCTCTGTCATCGCAGGCAGACCCTGCGTCCAGTCAGACTTCAGTTTAGGAGGGGTGGGCATGGACCGGGCCCTAAATCCAGATCGGGCTGAAAATTTAGTAACTGGCCCCTAAAATATTTTATGATACTAATTCTTCTCATTTGGTCCCAAACTTGACATTCTGTATTTAAGAAATATTTTAAAGCCTGTGTTATAGAAATTGTATTTTCCAATTTTCCTATTATATACTATATTGGGGAAATCATAATATTGAATGTGTTAGTGACTCTGAATCTTGCCTCCGGGACTAAGAATCGGAGTCGGCAGCAGGAACGGCCTGCTTGTCTCACGCTCTCTCCTGCACGACCACCGTGTTCCACAGCCGCTCCAGCCCACCATGCTTCCGGGACAAGTTGAAATCATTTGTTCCTGCGCTAATGAAGGGACTGATTGGAGCTTTTTTTGTGTGTCAGGTGTGTCATCTGTGACAGTTCATCTCGAGGGGGGGGGGCTCTGTTGATGAAGGGGTGGGAACCTTTCAATCTGGGAATAAAAAAGGAAACTTTTAATAATGGTAGTGTTGTTGTAGGGTTTAAAGATAAAGCAGAGCTCCTCTGAGGAGCCAAATTAAAGATCCAAATGTAGCCTGAAGTTGGTGCGTTGCAGAGAACTCTCCCCTCTGGGGGTTGCCATGTTCGTGAACTAAAATACTACCATGGCCTATTTAAGGCTCCAAGTTTCTTCCTGTTTAAGGTGATAATCTAGTTTGCTGGGTTGCGATTGCGTAAGTGCGCCGCGCCGCAGCCTGGGGCTCGGCGTCCGGCCCATGAGAGCTGCACGCTCCGTCTGATGTGCTCATTCACCCTGCGCTCTCTTCCGCAGGATGGAATATGGCCTAGGGGGCGCCATAGCGCATGGCAGAAGAGGCCTGTGGAGCCCAACCGAAGTGGTGAGTCTACAGCATCCGTGAAGCAGAGACTGCGATGGGGTCTGCGGCGTCCCGCCCCTGATCATGACGTGTGTCTTACTGTGAGAAGAGGTGGAGACCAGGTGACTTTCGAATGCTCTGAGCTCCAGCAGAAGGGTTTTTATGGTGGAGATTGTGCTGGTCCGTACTGGTCTGTGCTGGTCCTTGTGTCTGTACTGGTCTGTGCTGGTCCTTGTATCTGTACTGGTCTGTGCTGGTCCTTGCACAGATCTGTACTGGTCTGTGCATTTCAATGCACAGGTCTGTACTGGTCTATGCTGGTCCTTGCACAGGTCTGTATTGGTCTATGCTGGTCCTTGCACAGGTCTGTACTAGTCTGTGCTGGTCCTTGCACAGGTCCTTGCTGGTCTGCGTTGGTCCTTGTGTAGGTCTGTACTGGTCTGCTGGTCCTTGTGTAGGTCTATAATGGTCTGTGCTACTCCTGGCATTCAGGTCTGTGCTGGTCCTTGCACAGGTCCTTGCTGGTCTGCGTTGGTCCTTGTGTAGGTCTGTACTGGTCTGTGCTGGTCTTTACACAGGTCTGTACCGATTTGTGCTGGTCCTTGAAAGTCCATACTGGTCTGTCTTGGTCCTTTTGTCTGTACTGGTCTGTGCTGGTACTTGCACAGGTCTCTGCTGGTCTGTACATGTCCTTGCACAGGTTTGTACTGGTCTATGCTGGTTCTTGTATAGGTCTATACTGGTCTGTGCTGGTTCTTGCAGGTCTGTATTAGTCTGTGCTGGTCCTTGCACAGGTCCATGCTGGTCTATGTAGGTCCTTGCACAGGTCCGTGCTGGTCTGTGCTGGTTCTTGCAAATCCGTACTGGTCTGTGCTGGTCCTTGCACAGGTCCATGCTGGACTGTGATGGTTCTTGCAGTTCTGTGCTGATCTGTGCTATTCTTTTGTAGGCTCTCAGTATCACTGTTGACTTCACACATGCCGTTTTTTCACACCGTGATTCACTGCCTGTAAGCCCATCAGACATCCCATCAGGTGGCCTGTCCTGTCAAGCCTCCCCCAACTTGTTGTAACATAGAAGAAAGTTAGAAAGTTACTGTCTATATAGGTCTCCAACCTTCTTGTGCCACAGTGCAAGCTACTTTTACTAAGTAATATGCACAACAGTATATTTTGCTGATAAGGTGGGGGGTTAATTTTTTCTGACGTGATGGTGTTGTGATTGACTGTGAATGCCTTGAAGGTTGTCCAGTCGATCGCTATTGACCAGGTGTCGAGCACTGCTCAGAATCATCCTCTCGACGCTGATGCATGTTCTCAGCGCAGTGGCAGATCGAAGGCAGATCACAGCCGCCACAGGATACAGGTGCATGACTTGGGTCACTTTGGGCTTCTGACTTTCTTGCCGCCATTATCAGATCACCTTTACTTCCCAGATCAGAATTCCTGTCAAGGCAGCTGCATCTCACATCAGGAATAATGTTTCAGGATCATGGTTAAAACCTCTGGCTGTATCTGGTGTTATGCTTTGTGCTTTAGGTGTTCATGAGTGTCAGGCCCTGGCTGATTACTGTAATGTTTGTGCCACCTGGCCACCTTCTGGCGTGCCTGTGAGGTCACTCCGCTCTAAGGCTCCCCGGAGCTCCACATCCTCACTCCCGCTCCAAACCCTGCCATACAGTGTGGACCCTCACCATCAGGGCCTGATTGAATGATGGCAGAGCCCTGTGGCAGGATGACTTCGTGCCGAGGGGCCACACGGGATGATGGTAGAACGGGATTTTTGACCTTGGCTTTTAAAGAGATTTTCACATTTTTCTTTTAATTTGTTCAGCATCCAATTAAATCTTCAAAGATGAATTCTCAAGTGTATCCCCTTAGTACAGGGAGGAGTGTAGATGCCCCCAAATCAGACTTTGAATATGCATTAAAAAAAAAAACCTACAGCAATTACTCACATCTTACCGGTCTGGATTTTCAAAAATGATGTACAAAGTGGCGGCTTTAGTGAAATTTGAAATGAGCTTGCCGTCATATTCCCGGTCGGGCTGTCTAGAGAGTGAGGATTCTGGCTGCTTTTACCCTGGACAATAAGGGGCAGGAGAGTCGGATGGGACATCAGAGAGGCTGGCTGCTCTCGCGGGCCCCATCAGCGTCAGTTCAGATGGGGGATTCTTTTTAATCTCTGTCCACCGCTAACCCTGGTGAGTAGCTCAGGTCTGGGATGTGGTCACTGGTCGCCTCCTGAATATTTTAAAGTTTAAAGTCAAGACTTTCAAACAAACCAGTTAGGCCTCACTTTTTAATTTATTATTAATTTATTCTTACTCTTCAAAGTTTTTTTCCCCTTCTGAGACTCTGTTGGACTTGATCTGGTTATGCAGTCATTCTTGGGCCTGCCATCTTGTTTTGATCCCTCTTCTGCTGAACTTCAGGTCATCTGTCTAGTTCACAGTTTTAGAAGTATAATTTATCTGCCCATCATTGCTGATCTGATTTAGCAAAGTAACTTTGACCAAAAAAAACGAACACATGCATACAACAGAAAGCATGCTTAGCGGTAAACAACACCTGCTACATTTTTAAAGACTTTGTGTTGTGTGTCAACAAGCTTCCTCTGAATGAGCATATTAATAATTCACATTAATAGTCTTTATGGCTGGGACCTGGAATCATAACTTCTTCATCTTTTTTTTCCTCTTTTGTTATTCTTTTTTCCGCGCCTGTTGTTACGGTTTGGGGCTTCTGGCATAAGACACGCTGACTTAGGGATTCTTCATGTTAATAGTCCTTAAGGTTGCGACATGGAATCATAACTTGTCCATCATTTCTTTCTCTTTCTTATCACCTTTTCTCCTGTTTGTTGTTCTGAGCACAGCCCATAGCAGACGGCACGCTGACTTGTGGGGTCGCCAACGCCTCATATGGCATTTGACATAGGAGTGAGCAATATATTGATAAAATGTAATATTGTTATTATGAACATTCATATCGTCATCATTCTGAATATCATGAGTATCGTGATATAGTCTAAACACTTTGCTTGCATTATTAACAGTCATAATGCACTATTTTTACACAAATTCCATCAAGGTATGAGTCTGTTGTGTATTTTCATATGATTTATATTTTAATATTACATTATGGTTTTGCGGTCCCTTCAGTTTGTTGCCTTTATTCATGTTCTGTTTAAGTGCAATTCTAAGGGAATTTTAAGCAAAAATTGAGCACTGAAGTAAAGAAATAATGACTTGAATTACATTTTGATATTTACTGATGTTGTTTTAAAAAATGATCATGACTAAATATTTTGCCATATCGCTGAGCCGTCGTTTCGCAACATGGTTGCTATGGTAATGAGGGGTGTTGGCCAGTGTTCGGTGGTCCTCATCGGTGGCATTTGGGGAGGGGGGGTGGTATTTCATGCGGCATCAGCTGGACCCCTCCCCTTGCTGGGCCCTGTCACGTCTCCATGCCTTTAGGAAGCCTTGAGCTGCTATGGTCAGGTGTGTGTCACCCTCCGCATCTCAGCGGTGTTTGCTGTTAAGGTCTGTGGTTCCTCTGTGGAACCTACTTGAGGAATCCAAGGCCGTCTCTGCTTTCAAGGAGCACGTCAAGTCTGGGTGCTGGTGTGCCATCCACACTGAGAAAAAAGGGAGCCGGAGATGGTATTTCACACGCAGGGGGAACCTCAGTGACGGAGCGCCAGCACAGCGCATGAAAATGAGCAAGTGTCACAGTGTAAATGTTACTAAGTGTCACTAATTGCAGTGTTTTCATGTTTTCTAAATGGACTCTAAATGAATTCCCAGGGACGTCCCAAAAAGGGTTCTCTGAAGAGAGGTGAATTACATACGTACTGTAGCATGTAGTACAGCAAGTCACTATTTATTTCTATGTTTTTTTTCCCTTCGGGTCTGTGAAATGTTTCCCAGCCAGGAAGGTTTGCTGAGCATCAGCAGAGTGAGAGGGCCACATGTGTGTGTGAGAGGGCCACATGTGT